CCTGTTCTGGGTCATTCTTCCCTTTTTCAGGCTAAGGTCTAGCTGTGGGAGGCACTTCCTTATTTTCGGAGCTGGCATGGTTCGCTCTATGAGCTGGGAGGAGGAAAGGGACAACTGCAGACATTTCCCCTTTTCGGGACCTTTGATATGAGCAAGCAAGACATTTGGCTTTTAGCTTAACCACACACCCCACCCCACCCCGTTTCCTCTTATAACCTATTACCGTCAGCCTAACTTTTACATGCTCAGCGTCTTGTAACTTTCCTGAGTTCCCTACTTGCAAAAGAAGCCTTTCTAGTTTCCTTAATAGCATCTAGACTGACCCTTAGCCACACAGTCACTAGGTCAGCAAAAGCTTGAAATACAAAAGCAAAATAGGCAGTTAGTCTAACCATTCCTTACAATCTGATGACATACAAAACGGGGCAGGAGGAGAAAAAACTTTTCACCCGAATGAAAAGAGGCATTTCCCCCAATGGGCTGGCACAGCTAGCTCGAACTCCGAGCCAGAATAACCCCATTTTGTCCATCTTTTACTCCTGAAGCCCCTTTACCCTACATTGCAAAATTCTCGGAATAACCATGTAGTTGCTGTTATCAGGGACTCGTATCATCCTGACCCAAACCAGCCTTAGACTCGAGACCAACTCCCCTTTGGCTGACTAGAGAAGTTAAACTGCCCTCTCCAGTTGACCTATCAACCAAGGGCAGAAGGGGAGGGGGCTGCAATGCCTTAGCAGGAAGCCCACCGCTGGCAAGGGTCTGCCCAACCAGGGGTGTGAACAATTTACTGCCTCTTGCCTCTTGCTTGCTCACGATCATGTGCTTTTGTTTCCACCAGTGTATAAAAACAACGCTAATTTGTGTCTCGGGACTCTCGATTTGTGACCCGAGTCCCGAGAGCGCCTCTTTACTGCTGTACAGAAAAAACAGGTTGCAACTTTCACACTTGTGTGTGATTCTGGCTCTTTGCACCAGGTGAAACGATCCCGGCCTTTGACTGGGCCAACCCATCGCTTGGCCAACAGCACCTCTCCCGATAACCCGGTTTATTCAAAGGCAGAAGCCGTCATGAGCTGAAGTGTGGGGGTCCTGGACTGGCCCCCCCCCCACAGCGTAGCCAATCTGTACAAAATGCTTTATTGAGGCATGCCTCCTTCCCCGACAGCTACAGGCTATTCCTTTTCACCCGTTTAGGACTTGCGCGGTGTTGTTGGCATGTAAATAGGTGTTTCTTATAATATTTTATTGAGATTTTAAAGATACATATTTAAAAGTTAGAAATGAAAAGGAAAATTTGAAATACAAAATATAAAGAAAAGGGGGAAAAAGTGAGCTAAAGTAAAAGAAAAAAGATATGAAAAATAGATAACTTCCAATCTATCTCTGGTCTTAGAAATAGTAAGGCTATCATAAGTGAGATACATATTTAAAAGTTAGAAATGAAAAGGAAAATTTGAAATACAAAATATAAAGAAAAGGGGGAAAAAGTGAGCTAAAGTAAAAGAAAAAAGATATGAAAAATAGATAACTTCCAATCTATCTCTGGTCTTAGAAATAGTAAGGCTATCATAAGTGCTATTTTTCATATCTTTTTTCTTTTACTTACTTATGATAGCCTTACTATTTCTAAGACCAGAGATAGATTGGAAGTTATCTATTTTTCATATCTTTTTTCTTTTACTTACTTATGATAGCCTTACTATTTCTAAGACCAGAGATAGATTGGAAGTTATCTATTTTTCATATCTTTTTTCTTTTACTTTTTTCTGCCATTTCCATCAGTTTTAACAACCATTCTTGTATTGTTGGTAATGTCTGGGTTTTCCAAAATTGTCCATAAAGAAGTCTTGCTATGGTAATCATGTATTGAGTAATTCTAATAAGATGTTTTCCTATTTGAAACTCCATTATCCCCAACAGGAATAATTCCGGTTTAAATGGAATCTGTATTTGTAGTATGCTCTGCATCGACATTTGTATTTGAGCCCAAAATGTCTTTGTGATTTTACATGTCCACCACATATGGTAAAATGACCCCTCTTGTCGGTTACATTTCCAGCAAACGTTGGAAATTGTCCCATAACATGTAAATAGGTGTTCCATGCTCAGTCCTTTAATCCTTAGTTCAAGCTAATGTCTATAAAGTGTATGAAGTCTGTATAAATACATAAAGCCTATAAAATCTCTAGAGTGGCATAGAACCTTTGCCCGTTCCCCAAATATTCTTGCACTAGCTGAGACGAGGCGCTGCTTCCAGGTGATTGTTCATCATCTAGTTGCTACTGAGCTCCAAGCTCCAGGCAGGCCTCCCACAAGATGCGCTGTCCACCACCATCTGTGGGCTTGGTACTTGAATGATAGCCCTCCTGCCTGCTTGGAGTCGCTGCCCATCTCCAGACGTCGCCTCCGCTTCCCTGTCTGTAGGCCACTTGCTTGTCACCTTTCCTCTTACACACACACACCCTCCACACACCCCTCTGTCTTAATGTTTGCTTTTCTGAGCTAAGAGCCTGGGTGGGGTGAGGCTGCCTCTGGACTTTGGCATGTCCTTGAAAACGCCATGGTGGGGCTCAAGTCTCACTGGCAGCTGGAAAGTTGGCCTGGATGCTTGTGAGTAGACGCTTCACCAGATGCATAGAGACCCTACATCAGTTTAGCCATCTGATGCATCTGATGAAGTGACTTGCTCTAGAGCAGGGTTGCTCAACCTCATCAACTTTAAGATGGGGGGACTCCAACCTCCTGCAATCCCCCCGCTCACCCCTCTTTCGGTGG